AAAGGAGTATGTCAGTATATAAGGGGTTGTGGAGAGCAGGATGGGGACAATATATAAGGGGATGTGAATAGCATAAAGGGGACAGTATATAAGGGAATGTGGATAGCAGGATGGGGCAGTGTATAAGAGGGTGTAGATAGCAAGGGGGCAGTATATAAGGGGATGTGGATAGCAGGAAGGGGACAGTATATAAGGGGGTATGCATAGAAGAAAGAGGACAGTATATAGGGGTGTGGAGAGCAGGAAGAGGACAGTATATAAGGGGATGTGAATATCAGAAAGGGGACAGTATATAAAGTAATGTGGATAGCAGGATGGGGGCAGCAAATAAGAGGGTGTAGATAGCAAAAAGGGGACAGTATATAAGGGGATTTGGATAGCAGGAAGGGGACAGTACATAAGGGGGTCTGGATAGCAAGAATGGGACGCCATCACACCCCTACATAACCCTAAAATTCCAAATACAAACAAACCTAATGCATCAGCTCTGCTGGGAAACGTCTAACCCCAGGAGAAAATGGCTCACAGAATGAAGAGTGCCTGGCTGAGTCATTACACGAAAAAAGGAAGGGCCTTGCAGATCAGTGGTCGCTGTCAGGGATGGATCGATATGTGCAGCGGTGCCTCTGCTGGACACATTGTCACGAGAACGAGACCGACCCGAACGGCCCAAGAGTCATTTCCCATCATCTCCGTAAGACCGCGCTCTACGAGATACGTGAAACTGAACTGCATCTATGTCCCCAATATCTACTAAGCAAATCAGGACGATGACTGTAATTACAGGTGTTGCTACTGAGGATGCAGGACGGTGATCCGCAATAAGCTGTAGCCCTGGGCTGTCCTGTCTTTGCTCTGTGGGGCTTTACGATGGCCATTAGAGGCCCGATTTACTGCGCTGCATCTGTAAATCGATTGGAGACTGTGGTTTAGACAGTGTTTTGTGCCTTTGCGAAACAGGAATGAGGGGCTGGGCTGCTTCATTGGGCAAAAACACGGGTCCAGCATAAAGAAGCATCCTCTGCTTCAAGCCAGCATAGCTGTGTCCTGTATCAACCCTCAACGTTTCCGTCTCCATTTAGTAAACATAATATCCAAAGGCCGCAGGCTTTTTTCGGACTGTAGGTAATGATGCTAATGATTATTATCAATCCAGCCATTACCAAAAACAGCTATGCTAATGCTAATGATCAATCCAGCCATTATACAGAACAGCTAGCGGTCATGCTCGGTTAGCACGTTGCTGTAATCTGCCCCCATAACAAACATTGATTCAGCGGTGCCAGATGTTCAGATGGAGTTGTGCCTTTTTGTTTGTATTGTGCTCCTAGTAAGCCACCTAACGGTCTGCTGAAAGATTTGTACCTTCTCTGCGAATGGACGTCCTTAACAGGAGGAGATGGTTGGAGACAGCGTGAAAGAAAGCTGTCGAGGATTGTGGGCTTTTTGAATACCTGAACCAGGTAAAGGAATGAGCTGGTGTCCGGAGAATTTCAGCGACTAACATTTATGAGTGAATTTCGGTGAGGATGACACTTATCCTCCATGTTGTCAACTGGCAGGTTGAACCTAGAATCCTGCTGCAATTAAAGAAAGAGGGATGCTGTGAGCTTCACGCAGTGATGTGAAGCTTATCCTGAAGGGGAGGAAACCCAGATACACAGACAACTGCCACAGCTGGAGGAAACCCCTCACAAACTCAGGGAGGACAATCAAAATACAAGACAAGTCACTTCTGGTTTAGGTGGTGCACCAAGGACATGTCAGGTGACACTGATGTCACCTTTGAGGGTAAGACCAGTGCTTCAAATTGAGGGTGTCACCATTTTAAATATTGGGAGGGACAGGGACAGATACATTAAGTGACTGTCCACACTGCTACTCTCTGTTTTTGCATTTCGTCCAAATTACCAAGTTTTCAGCCCATATAAATAAAACCTTTGTAAACACTCTCACAGCCGTATATTTCTGAAAACCGTTGTTGCAGTGTGGATGAGTGAAAACGGAGACTTTTGAAAATGTGGACTCCAAAGCCGCCCTAATTGGTCCCTACTCATAGTTACACCTTCTCATTGTCTGATTGGTCACCTGGCCACCCTCCCGGGAGTAAACAGTATCCCAGCATGACAGAAACTGTGGAGCTCCTTTCAATGGCACTTTCCCTGTTACTGACCTCTATGCAGATAAAATAGCGTGTTGTATAGGGGCTGCTGCATACATGCACGAAAACTCATTTACTGGTTACTGTGCTGCTGTGTGTATGCCCAATGTAGGCTAATAACTACATTATATAAATGCAAATTTATTTATATTTAAAAGCAGAATCCTGGAAAATACTGAGTGGGCCTCCCCATGAGTAATGCCTATGCTTCAAATGCTTCTTTCCTTGAACAAGCTGGCAGATGGGACCTGGCCCCTAATCAGGTGACCACAGCAGTCGTGCTCAATGGGCTGCCTGGCAGTCATTCCCCTCGCCATGGGGTGGTCTGCAGGGGCCTAGGGCTGGACGACAGAACCGTGACTTTATTTAGGATGGCATATAAGCAGCCTGGGTCACCATATCAAGATAGATACTCAGTGCCTTATACACAGCTTGTATGTTTTAGGAATGGGAATCTACTAGCCAAATAGCTCCCCCCCGGTTCTGAGAGTATAGTGCAGGGGTATGGACCCCGAATGCTATCTTGCGGAAATTAACACTAAGCCACAACAGATGACCGGGGAAGGAAAAAGGAATGTACACAGGGGTGGGGCCACAAAAGCACTGGTCCCAGCTTAAAGCTGATGGGCTGCCACAGTGTCCCCTTTTCTGTCACTCACCAATATAAAACATATCATTGGTTAATGATAGGGCACGCCCCTCTGTAAGAATCATGACCCCTCTTATACCCACCACCTTAAAAACCCTAGAATCACCCCTGGCAGGCAGAGTAAGGCACTGTACATCTCAGCAGCATACGAGAGCAGCCAGCCAGCCTCTGCTGGCCCAGTGGCCAAAAGCACCCACGATGGAGAACTCACGCCCCGCCTTGCAGCCCCGGCAGCCAATCAGAGTGGCACCTCGCTCTCAGCGGCCAGCGTGGGTGACCTGCCACGGGCAATTAAAACTTCACATTCAGACGAGGTGGCATGTGCTTTCGAGGGTTTGAGCCAAAGTTGGAAGAAGTACAGGCTGGCAGGGGGTTGGTGTTGGTACACCCCCCCCCCCCCCACCCAGTGGCATGCCTCCCCCGTGATGCTGCAGTGCGGTCTTTCATTTCCCGTTAAGTGCAGGCAATGAGATGCCATCGTACAGGAACAGAGAGCCAGGCAGGGACTCTACCACCTCCGAGAGCCAGTTTGTTTGATGGTACCACTTCCAGGGTCGTTTAGTTTGACGGTACCACCTCCCGGGGCAGTTTCATTTGAGGGTACCACCTCCGGGGGCCATTTAGTTTCATGGTACCACCTCCAGGGGCCGTTTTGTTTGATGGCACCATCTCAGAGGGCCATTTCGTTTGACGGTACAACCTCCCAAGGCTGTTTCGTTTGACGCTACCACATCTGGGCCATTTCGTTTGATGGTACCACCTTCCAGTTCTATTTCATTTGACAGTTCCGGCAGGTTAATGTTCTGCCCTCTCTCCTGTCTCCAGCTGCGTCTGGGTCTGGGGGTGCAAACAGAGAGCACCTTGAGGGGCCTGCCATGAATTATGGGATGCTGTGGTGTGCGGTCTCCATGAGAGATGTACGCAGCATGAGCTGGGAGGACATGAAGAGAGAGAGAACATCAGAGCTGAGTCTTTTTAGTGCCGCAGAGTTGCTGGTCTGCCTGGCTGAACCTCCTACTGCTTCTGCAGAATGGGGTGCCACACACACACACACACACACACACACACACACACACAATGTCACTTCCACTACGTACTGTCCTCTTTCTGCTATCCGCACCCCCTTTTATACTGTCCATCTGATGTCATCTGAAATGTCCAGACTGTGTGTGATAAAGTGGAAAGTCAAGCCCCCCCTCAAATGCCACCCCAGTCAAAAGCATGCGCTTCCATCCCATAAACATGCTGCCTGGGACTCTGCCGGGCCTGTGATGTCACCTGTGATGTCAGAGTCCGCAGAGCACCTGCATGCTTCATGGCTCCTCTTCCCGGACTCTGACGCATTCCTTCAGAGGAAGTTCTAAGTGACATCTTGTGAACGATAAATGTGTCATGTCTTTGCACATTACCCAGCCCCCGCATCACATCGAGCATGCTCCCTATACTGGCAAATAGTGAAGCTCAAGGCATGTACAGGGGCGGGGCCACAGGCCATTGGCCCCAGCTGAAAGCTGATTGGTTCCTGTAGTGCCCTCACTCCTGTCACTCACCAATCCAAAGCATTAGCTAATTATAAGGTTGCCTTCCCCTAGTATAAATTATGGCCCCTCAGTCTGCACTCCTTCTCTGATTAAGGGATTATATGTAACTGGACTCCCAATCTGCTGAGGGTTCATCTGGCTTATATTTACATTTAATCGCTTCCAAAAACACAGAGTGTAGGAGCTGGAACCTTCAGTTGTGTGTGATTGTGGTAACTAAGTGATTAAGAGGACACAGTGACCTCCAAACACATGGCCTTCCTGTATGATTTTTTCACACACACAGCAGCATATACCCAGTGGTATGCCCTCTACTGGTGGATGAGCAGAACTGTCAGCCTGGTCCCTCATCCCCTTCCTGCTGGCTCTGTAGGCCTGCACCCCTAAAAATGCCCAAACAGGTCCAAGGTATCCTTCCTGCTGGGCATGGGCTAAGCAATAGTGAAAAAAGATGGACCATCTGAATACAAAATGAGCAACAGCAGCACCCAAACATCTGAGCACAGACTGGCCTTCAGTTTCCTCTTTTCGCACCTGTCTGCAGCTCAGTAGCCCTGAGGTTGAGCGTGATTTATGAATCTTTCACCTGACCTTTCAAACCGCAGCTCACAAGAGCCAGAGAAGAGCCGGGGAGAGAGCAGAGCCTTACTCTTGTCCAGAGAAGAATCCGGGGTGTTGAAATCCATCAGGCTTGTTATGTCAGTTTTATAGCAGATGTCTGTCGCTGGCTTCTGTCTCTGGTGCACAGACGGTTCTGGAAGACAACAGACGACAACAGACTGAAATTCACAGCGCAGGAAACACATTTGCTAAAGCACTGCCAACTCGGAGCTCACGTTACAAGATTGAGACCCAAATGCCGGGTCTCAGCTCAGGACATCAAAGACCCCCGGCCGCCTGACACCCAACGTGAGGACATGCCGTGTCATGATATCAGTCGCCGAGGGAGAGAGAGAGAAAATAAATAAATAAAATCGCCAAGATGTGAGAAAGCAAACCTGACAGACACAAAGCACAAAGAGATCCCAGCCTTGTTTTACATCAGTCATGTAAAAAGCAGACACTCCTACCCAGTCTAGGTCAGTCATACTCACGGTTGTGACTGACTGGTTGGTTGTTCATAGCACTACATTCTTTACTATACTGTTGAATTCATTGGCATTCACTGGTAGCAGTGAGCACTATCATACGTTCATCTCAGTAGATCAGAGCAACATCAGCAGCCTCACAGTGTAATGGCACCAGACGTACTCACAGCTCCCAGTGCAACCAGACAGGTGTTGGGAACTGGGTCCTCCCTGGCCATAACCCTCCAGTGATGAGACCTCCTTGGCTACAGACCCTCGCATAACATAACAGGCAAGAGCCTCATTATCTTAAAGGGTTTTTAGCTTAAGTTTCCCCATTGGTTCAAACCACCTCTGCAAGTCACATGACAAAGTGACCAGGGGACGTGCCCTGTCCCAGTCCAGACCGGCCAATTAGTCAAAATGGCACCGACGCATGCATGACAATCATGCATGATTCAGTCACTGAAACGTGCGTAAAAATGGAAACAGGTTTCTTTTTGTGATCACAGCAAACGACAGGGGGAACTGATGTACACAACTAACAGATCCACTGAGGGGTATCAAATTAGGGGCGCCTGGCCTTTGCCAGTGCTTTTCATCGATCGCTTCCCTGAGAGTACACCTTCACCCGTAAGAGAATGACACTCAGCTCTGCGACCAATGCTACGCTATGGCCATAATTAGGAAGAGAGAGACATCTGTAATATGAACCTGATCGCTTTAATGTCCATCCAGCTGGGAACTGACATTTAATGACAGAAAGTTTCGAGTGGGGGGGGGGAACATATTTAAATGCTGCCCCATAAGTAAGTCGATAAACAACATGAGTACGCTAGTGCATTAATCTGTGATAAAAAGCGCATTTAACAAACATAACTGTTCAGGATGGTATTAAGCACAGGTGATGTACACTGAGGAATCCTCTGGACTACCGGACCCTGAAAAAGGTCTGAAATAACTGCTCTAAGCAGCCTGAGTCACTTGGTCAGTCACAACGGGCTGTATGATCCCGCGGTGAGGTGGGACACTTGGGGATTGGTGACGGTGAGGTGGGGGGGGGGGCACTCAGCCATAAGCAGGCATCCAGGGCTCCCTGGGAGACTCAAATGCCTTTACAGGACGAATGCAGGTGAATCACCATTGTTAGTATAATAATAGCAGTAGGTGTATTAGACCAGGCTAGCTAGCTACAGATAAGACGGCGGTGTTGCAGCAGTGTGGCCTGAGAGCAGCCGATATGGGAGCGTGGAGAGCCGGTGGGGAGGCCGCGTGCTCGCTGAGAGCCGGCGGGGGGGGCGCGTCCTCGCTGAGAGCCGGCGGGGGGGCCGCGTCCTCGCTGAGAGCCGGCGGGGGGGCCGCGTGCTCGCTGAGCTGTCTACATACCTCAAGGGGCTCTCAGACAATCCCCTTCCCGAAGGTGTGAGATACCCCACGGAGTTATAACTCTCAAACAATGACCGGGATGCCATCCGGCAAAAGAGCACAGTCAGGACTTCCAACCTGGACGCCATAATAGACGACACACAGAAACAGCCCATTAATGAATGGGGTGAGGTACAGGCACAAAAGGATGGAATGGCACAGAGTTTAAGTTCAGATCGAGTTTGCCTGTACTGTCATTCCCGGTAGCAGTGACAGCAGCGAGGTCTTAACTGCTGAGAAACACTGCAGATATTTATGGGACTTTAGGACCCATTATGGGAGAGACAGGGGGGAGAGAATTAGGGAATTGGTCACAGCGGTTCTGCACAGTCGAGCTGGGCGGACGCACAGCGGCGAGCCAAGGTGTTGGGCATTAATCTGGCCCACGCTTGTCGTGAC